GCTTGTTTAAAAAATGTTGGACCCGGACCCAACCCGGAGGGTGTGGGTGTGCATGTCAGTAAAGGAAAGATCTATAATTACACCCACCCACACCCTTTTCCTATTTTATTTGTTCTATGTTCTTCATATATTTATAGATCCATACTACCACCTTTCGAAATTCAGATAAAACTGCAGTAAAATTAGCTATATATTTAAAATTAATTGGTGAATTTTCAGGAATCTTAAATTCTGCACGAATTTCTAATCATCTCATTCTTTTCTTAATTTTACCAATTTTTAAGTCTTTAAAAATTATATTGAATTTGTCAACAAAAACATCGTAGCTTAAGGCTAAGTGAAATTGGGGAGCAAATGTCATCAGGGAGCAAGTATCCAGGGAGCAATTGACATAGGAGAGCAAGTGTCCGGGGAGCAATTGTCCTTGGGGAGCAAATGTCCTTGGGGAGCAAATGTCATGAGAGCAAATGTCGCGGGAACAATTGTCGCCGGAGAGCAATTGTCCGGGGAGCAATTGTCGCGGGAGCAATTGTCTGGGGAGCATCATTCATGGATTCAACAATATCATATACATCGTAAAACAAAAATTCCAAGTAGATTTAATGATTGTTTTATTAATTCAACAGTTGGACAACGTGAAACATTATCTACATCAACAGATTTTATGAATCAAATTTATTTTCCTTTAATTGATTCTATGTTAGTTATATTAAATGATAGATTTTCATTAAAAACATTGTCATTTATGAACAGTATTGCTACAGTTTATCCCGAGAGTAAAAACTTTTTAAGTATCAATGATGTTGATGAATTTAGTCGCCATATTGATGTTGATTCAAACGCTTTAAAAAATGAATTTATTGTTATAAAAACTATGCTCATGTCTAAAACAATCAATAATGTTATTCAGTTCTTGAATGAATTAATTCCATTCTCAACTGCATTTCCACAAACATTACGGATGATCAAAAGTGCAATTACAATGCCAATTTCACAAGTCGCTTGTGAAAGATCGTTCTCGAAGATGAAGATAATCAAGAACTATCTCCGCAATTCAATGTCTGATAAACGCTTAAGTGACTTGACAGTCGTGGCTGTTGAACGTAATATTGCTATAGATTATGAACGAATAATAGATAAGCTTGCACGAAATCATAAGAATAGCAGAATTTTATTGTATTAAGTTATCCTATCAGATATTTTTAAAATAAATATTCAAGCTCTTTATACGTTGGTGCGAAGGATACATTTATTGCGGTACAAGAAACATTTCTGATAAATCAAAAATTCTATAAAGTCCTCACTATGCTTTTTACTCTTTTAAAACTGAGTAGGTAGAGCCCACCCTGATAAAAAATCAGAGAGTCTGCGCCCACCCAAGTCTAAATTCCTGGCGCCGCCGCTACCCCGCACAAAAGACTTCAGATTCTATACAATATTTCAATGGTTTCATAATCATTTAAAAAACGATTTTTTACTTTACAAATGATGTATTAGGATAACAAGTTTAAGGGATATACGTGAGTTCCACATTTCAGCTCCAAACGAGCTGCGCTGACAAGCTTTTTTTGTTTTTTTCTGGAAAAATCAGACCTGTTTTTTGAAGACATGCCTTTGTTCAACTATTGAAAAAGGTTTCAAAAGTTGAAGTAAAAAGTAATTGTCTTATATGGTTCGATGCGTTTTCATCTACTGTTTCCAACGGTGAAAA